TCTATAGACAGCACGTACCTTTGTTTTCCCTAAAGTTCATGGTTTCTGGTCATGCAGCTGGAGTCAGACCCATTTATTCTGCGGTAGTCTGTACTTAAGAGCTTGAACTCAGCTTGGCGCTGCTAGATGGAGCCTTCAGTTACTCTGAGTTCTGAACTCACTTGGCCCCTCTTTAAGATAGCCATCTCCGTACCCTCTAGGACCTCTAAACCTGAATGTCACTGCAGCCACTGCAGTCTGTTGTGTCTACTATTTTGTTTCACTAGTATGATTCTCCATGGAGAGCTCTGGGCTTGCCAGTAGTCACCATGCGCGTGCCTCTCCCATGCAGTGAGTCCAGGATCAAGGAGAAAGCAAGACCTGCCACCTCCTTCTTCATGGTAGTTTTTGTCTGTGCTCTCACCACGGGCTTCACCTCTCCATTCAGATCCTCCTTGGGTCCTTGGGACCCACTTCCTTCACATCCTTACATTGCTGTATTCCAATGTCTGAACACCAAATCTCAGAGAGAACCTTTCTCTGCTGCTCACCACTCCATCATCTTCCTGGAATTCCTCCCTTCTGTTTTCATGTCATCTTTCTTACATTGCACATACCAGGGAAAACATGCAATACTTGTCTTTACATGTCTGGCTTATATTGCTTAACATGATGATCTCTAGAATCACCCATTTTCTTGCAAATGATGTAATTTGCTCCTTATGGCTGAATAACACTGTACTTTTATATAAATACCATCCTTTTTTCATCCATGTATCTGTACATTGACTGGTTCCATATCTTGGCTATTATGAATTGTAATAAAATAAAAATGGATATGTAGGTGTCCCTATAGTACACTGGCTTTAATTCTTCCTGGCGTATATGAAAGAATGATATATTAGGTCATTTGGTAGTTCAATTTTTTTTTTTTCAGGAAACTCCATACTAATTTCTGTGATGGCTATAATAATTTACAGTCCTTCTGGAAGTGTAGAAGGGTTCCTTTTTCTACAGATCTTCATCAGCATTATTTTTTCTGTTCTTGATAATAGTCATTTTGACTGGAATGAGAAGAAATCTCAGTGTAATTTTGATTTGCATTTCTTTAATGGTTAAAGATGTTAAACATTTTTTCATATGTTTATTTGCCGGTTGTACTTTTGAGAACTGTCTGTTCAGCTTATTTGCTAAATTACTGACTAGTCTACTTGATTATCTGATACTAAATTTTTGAGTTTCTTATATATTCTAGATGTTACTCATCTGTTGGAAAAGTGGCTGACAAAGATTTTGTCCTGTTCCAGCCAAATAGCTCAGCGGATTAAAGCACCTGCAAGCAGGCACAGGGACCAGGGGGTTCGATCTCCAGGCCTGCCGTGCCAGCCCCACCCCTATGGCATGCTGAGACAGTGATTGAGACTGGGTATGGTGGCACACACCTGTAGTCACAGCTCTTGGGAGACTGTAAACAGGTGGATCACTACAAGTCCGATCTAGTAATGAGACCCTGAATACCCTGTAGACCTTTCCCTAAAATACAAACTTAAAAAAAAAAAGTAATGTAGGGTACCTCTTTACTCTTTTGGTTTTCCTCTTGCTGTGCAAAAACTTTACATTGGTATAGTCCCATTTGTTGGTTCTTGCTATTTTTTTCCTGTGCTATCAGAGCCCTGTTCAGGAAGTTTTTGCCTGTGTCTATGGCTTCAAGTGTTTCCATTGTTTTCTTTTAGCAGTTTCAAAGTTTCAGTTCATAGATCTTTGATACCTTTTGAATTGATTTTGTATAGGATGAGAGATAAGGATCTAGTTTCAGATTTCTATAAGTGGATGTCATTTTCCCAGCACCATTTTTTAAAGAGTCTGTCTTTTCTCTGTGTATGTTTTTGGTGCCTTTGGCAAAAATCAGGTGGCTGCAGTTACATGGCTTTGTTTCCGTGCCTTCTCTTGTGTTCCATTGGTCTGTGTCTATTATGCAGTCTCACTATTTTTGTTACTGTGGCTTTACAGTAAAATTTGAAGTCAAGTATCAGTATGCTTCTGCCTTGCTTACTTTGCTTAGGATTGCTTTGACTATGCGGGGTTATTTGTGTTTCCATGTGAAGTTTAGGATTTTTTTTTCTAGTCTGGTGAGGGATGTCATTGGAATTTTGATGGGGATTTCATTGACTGTAGATCACTTTTGGTAATATGACCATTTTAGCAATGTTGATTGTGCTGACTTTTAGAAAATGGGAAGTCTTCATCTTCTACTGTCTTTAGTTCGTTTATTCAGTGTTCTGTAATTTTATCATAGAGGTCTTCTACCACCTTGGTTAGTTAATCTGTAGGTATGGATTTTATTTCCATTGTGAATGTAGCTGTTTTCCTGATTTTTATTCTCAGCTATTTCATGATCAATGTATAGATACACAATTACTATTTTAAATGTTGCTGTAGTATATTTAACTGTATATTTAACTTTTTTCTCAAGTACTTGGAATTGAACTCAGGACCTTCACACTGAGTAGTATACCATGCCTTTTTTCAGTGTTTTGTTTCAAGATATGGTCTCATTGAATTGTTAAGTTATCCTGGCTGGACTTGACCTTACTATCCTCCTGCTTACACATCCCAGAGTGCTTTGATTATTGGTCACTAGCCACCGTGGCTGACTTATATTTACATTTTTTTAATAAAGATTTTTGTTTTAATCTTTTATCTGGTACAGGATCTTGCTACACAGCTTGGACAGGACTAGTAATGATCCTCTTGTCTCAGTTTCCCCAGCACTGGGATTACAAATGTGTGCCACCATTCCTGTTTTGAGATAGCTCAGTGGGCCCAGGGCAGCCCAGCATGGCATGCAGTACTGGGGAATCAAGCTGGGTCCTTGCGCTTGCCAGGCATGTGCTTAGACCACTGAGCTATCTCTCCAGTCCTATATTTACTTTTGAAGAAAAAATAAAGCTGTTTTCCAAAAGACTACTCCATTTTACATTCTCTCCAGCAATGTATAAGTAAAAAGTATCAGTTTTGCTATATCTTTACCAATATTTGTGAGTATAAATATATTTCCTTGTGGTTTTTAACTTGAATTTTCATAACTATGATGTTGGACATCATTTGATGTGAATACTGGCTATTTGTATGTCTTTAGAGACATAGTCTTCAAATCTTCACTCATTTTTGCAAAGGGTTACCTTTTTGTTGTTAATTGCTAAATATTGTGTATACATATATGTGGTTCTAAAATGTCTTTCTGGGGCTGGAGAGATGGCTCAGTAGAGTAAGTGCTTGCCTGGTAAGTGCAAGGGTCTGAGTTCAATCCCTGGTTCTGCATAAATAAATAAATAAATAAATACATATATAAAATTTCTTTTACCAGGTATACCAACACTTTTGTTGCATTATATTGCCTTTTATATTAGTTGGTTCTGCCTTGTTAAATAATTAGTAATCATTTTGTGGTGCCTCTTTTATCAAATAATTTATTCTAAAATATATAGAGAGAAGACCATATAGTAAGGCATAAAAAGACCTAAATTGGAAAGACTTTTTAGATTTAGAAAAAATGTAATACCAATTTTAAGTTTCCTTAAGAATTTTCTTCAATGCAGTGCAATTCCAATTAAAGTATTCAATTTAGAAAAGTGTTGAAAATGACTTGCAGAAGTTTATGGAAATTCAGTTCATGGTATACTAGTATTTTAAGTCATTTCCTTATGTATTTTAAAATAAATAACACTTGCACAACTAGCTAAAATTTGTGTTTTTAAAAATTCTGAATGTATCCAGGCCTGTAATCCAAGCACTCCGGAGGCTGAGGTATGAGGATCTTTGCAAATTTGAGACCAGCCTGGGCTACAGTATGCGCTCAAGGCCAGCCTGAACTGCATAGTGTGAGACCCTGTCTCAAAAAGATCAAAAGGAAGGAAGGACAGATGGTCGGACGGACTGAATATAGCTCAGTAGTAAAGTGTTTGGCTAGCAGGTATGAAGCTCGAGATCAACCCCCAACACCACCAAAACAGAGAGAGTTGTTGAAGTTAGTTTTATAGACACAAAACAAGAAACTGTTGAATTATTAAAAATCTATGCTGTTTTTCTGCTACTTGACTTCAGTTTTTACTGTTGGCTTGATTAAAAAAATTGCTACTGTATTTGAGAGAAGTATACATTTAGGCATCTGAATGTTAGATAATTTTCATTTTTTCTGATTTAACATGTTGACCTTTGACTCTGCATCAATTGGTTATAATTACCAAATCACTGTATTTGATGTCAACTCTTATTTGTGGTAAATTTTTGTAATTTTTAAATTGTTCATATGATTACATTGTTGAGTGCTATTGAATCTTTTTAATATGTATTTTATTTATTTTATGTCAATATGTGAATGGCATTTACTATTTATTTTCCCAACAACGCTGTGTATAGTAAAACATATAGAAAGAAGTAGCCAGGGTCGGTGGTATACACCTATAATTGCAGCACTCAGGAGGCTGAGGCAGGAGAATCCCTTTGAGTTAAAGGAAGGCTAGCCTGGGCTACAACGTGAGTCCAAGGCCAGCCTGAATTGCATAGTGAATCTCTGTCTCAAAAATACAGAAAAAAAAAAAAGAAAGAAAAGATAGGGCTGGCCAAATAGCTCGGTGGATTAAAGCGCCTGCCTAGGCAGATTCAGTGGCCCAGGGTTTGATCCCCAGTATGCCATGCGGGCCCTGCCCCCAGGGTGCACTGAGACAGCAATTGAGACTGGACGTGGTGGCACAGGCCTGTAATCCCAGCTCTTGGAAGGCTATAAACAGGCCAGATCACTATGAGCCCGATCTATGTAGTGAGACCCTGTAGACCCTTACTAAAATGCAATAAAAAGACAGTAAATGTGTAGGAATAATGTCCTTTGAAAAACAGAGTAGAGCCAAAAGGAAATAGATTATGGACTACAGAAAGGTGTTAATTCAGTAGACCCTTTTTATTATATAAACATTCATATAGACTAATATATAGTCTACTTCCATCTTTGTTTCTCCTTTTAGATTGAAGAGCAGTCAGACTGTAAGATCCTAGATGGACACTTTGTTTCCCCAATGGCCCATTATGTACCTAATATCATGCCAGTTGAATCTGTTATTGCAAGGTAAGATGTTTTGGAAAAGCTAAATTAGTAAATTAATTTTGTTCAGTAAAATCATATCATACCATGTTATTTCAAATCACACTTTAGTAACAGGGTAGATCTAATTTTGTTGTTGTTGTTGTTGTTGTTGTTGTTGTTGTTGTAGTACCTGGAATTGAACCCAGGACCTTGTGCTTACCAAGCAGGCACTGTGCTGCTGAGCTACATCCCCAGCCCAGCAGATCTGGGCTCCCTTCCTTCCTTCAGCACTCTTCTCCTTATTTACAAAAGCTTTTTTATTTTTACTTTCCTTTTCTTTTGACAGCCAAGATTTTTAACTCATTAATATACATTAGCTGAAACTTAGCATTTTTGGATCTTATGCAGTTCAGGCTGGCCTTGAGCTCACTTTGTAGCCCAGACTGATTTCAAAAATCACAACAGTCCTCCCACATCAGCCTTCCAAGTGCTGGGAATACAGGTGTATGCCACCATGCCCGGCCAGTACCTCTGTTCTTGAGCTTGAATTCTTTCCACAATTCTGGTCCCAAATCAAGTTGGTTGAGAACCAAATCAAAGCAGTGATTAGGTCCAATGTTGACCTTATGGGTCTCCATCCAGAATCATGGAAAAAATTATTTGCTTTGTTGGAACTTTCATCACAGAGTACAAAGGTCAATTCTATTGCAATTTTGTTAATAGTTTTTAAAATAGTTTTCAGTTCTAAACCAGTGTTGAAGCTAGATCTTTCCATGATTTTCTGTTTTATGCTTTACCTAATTCTGTGTACTTAAAAAGAACAAGATGGTTTACTGTTTTCCTCTCTATTTGCCACTTCTGGTAAGTAGTTTCTCATGTAAAATTTTTGTTTACAATAGCAATGATGCTTTTATGTGTATATGTGAAAATCCTTCAGTGAAGAAGCTTTTACTCTGTAATGGAAATAGAAACCTACCTAAATTTTATGTGACTATACTGGAATCCCGAATAAATTCCAGTTCTAAAACATTCATTACTTAAAGGCTGGCAAGATAGCTCAGCGGACTCAGCACCTGCTTAGGCAAGTGCAAGGACCAGGGTTCGATCCTGGGTACTGCCTGCTATGCTGACCCCACCCCAGGTGTGCTGAGCCAGCATCCGAGTACAGGTGTGATAGCGCACTCCTGTAATCCCAGTGCTGGGGAGGCTCAAGACAGGATCACTATGAGTCCAAGCTGGGCAGTAAGACCCTGTACCAAATACATTTAAAAGAAAAAAAAAAAAATGCACTACTTATATAGTGAACATATATGGTGAACTGACAGAAAAGCAACTTTTGTAGTCAGTTACTATTTCATTATTTCTTTCTCTCTCTCTTTTTTTTTTTTTTTTTTGAGACAGGGTCTCACTATGCAGTTCAGGCTGGCCTTGAGCTCACTTTGTAGTACAGGCTGGTCACTAAACGATCCTCCTGCCTCAGCCTCCTGAGTGCTGGGATTACAGGTGTGTGCTACCACACTGGCTTGCATTACTTCTAAAGTAGTATTTTAAAATTATGTTAATAACTTCAAAGTAAAATGTAAGCAGTATCATGTAGGGGAAAGAACCACAACTTTTGGGGGCTTTTTTGTTTTGTTTTGTGGGTGTTTTTTTGTTTGGTTGCTTTGGCTTCTTTTTTTTTTGTTTGTTTTTGTTTTGGTGATACTGGGGATCAAACTCAGAACCTTGCATTTGCCAGGCAGGTGCCTATGCTGCTGAGGTATCTAACCTGCCCTCCCCCCTTTTTTTGCATGGTGAATTGAACTTAAGACCTCATGCTTGCCAGGCTGACATTGTGCTGCTGAGCTATATTCCTGGCCCGCCTAAGCACGAGAACTTTGAAATTAAACAGATCTGCGTGGAACTCCAATTCTACTACATATTGACCTACTGACTTTTGGTCAGTTACTTAATCTATGAATCAAGTTTTATAGAGCAGAAATAGACAATGTGCGTGGCAGCATGTCCCTGCAATTCCAACAGTCAGGAAGCTGAGGCTGGAGGGTCACCATGGATTTGAGGCCAGCCTGGGATCGATGGAATTTAAAGCCAGCCTGGACAACACAGAAAGACCATGCCTCAGAAAAGAGGGAAGGGAGCAAGAAAGGGGAAGAGTGGAGGGGAGAAAAAGCTTATGAATATGGTTATTGATATGAATAAGTAAAATAAGGAATGAAAATTATGTGCAGGCTATATAAAAAGTATAAGTATATATGCAGCTCTTTAGCCTGTCGGTTAAAGGATATAGAAAAAAAAGTAATTTTAGGTCTTCATGTTCCATCAGTTCTTTCATTGGAACTGTGTCCTCTTAGAAGTTCTCCCCTTATATGGAACACAGTTGAAGGTGTTCATATGAAGAAAAGAGGAAGGAGCAGGGGTGAAGTTCAGTGGTGGAACTTTTGTTTAATATCTGTGAGGCCTAGGTTCAAGCCCTAGTGCAGCAAAAACAAAACAAAACAAAAAAAATATATATATATATATGAATGAAGCTGGTTGTGGTGATACACACCTGTAATCAGGAGGCTGAGGCAAGAGAATCAGTTTGAAGCCATGTAGAACTATATGGAAAGACCCTGCCAAAAGAGAGGGGAGAGAGAGAGAGGAGTCTTTGACTCAGCCTAAAAAATAGTCTCAAGAACGGTTCTTCTAGTGGAAGACGAGAATGGAGAGGTTACTTCTTATCTCTTCAGTAAATTTTACAACCAAATTTTGATAAGTATAGATTGCTAAGTGACACAAACTGACCTCTGTTTTTCCTTTCTTCTTCCTTAAGATTTTTGGAAAGTAATTTATCTCATTGCATTAAAATTCTGTAAAAGGGGCTGCAGAGATAGCTCAGTGGACTAAGTACCAACCTAGGCAAGCACAAGGACCCAGCTTTGATCCCCTGTATGCTGTGCTGGCCACCAACACTGGGCATGATAGTGCATATCTGTAATCCCAGCACTGGGGAGGCTGAAAATAGGACAACTATGAGTCCAGGCTGAGTAGTGAGACCCTGTATCAAATACATAAAATTTTTTTAAAAACCTCCAAAATATGTATTTAAAAAGAGAAAAAATTCAGTGATGATTCCAACAAGGACTAATAACTTTTTATGATGTTGTTTTATTTTTCCTGTGTGTTCAGGCACCACCATTACACCCATCTGGGTGACGATCAGCACACCTAGGGGCAGGGCCAGCGTGGTATGTAGTGCCAGGATGGAACTCTGGTCCCTGCACTTGCCTAAAGTGTAGCAAGTCTTTACGCAGTGGACATATTTTCTCAGATGAAACAACATTGGCCAGCCAGATAGCTCAGTGGATTAAAGTGTCTGCTTAGGCAGAGCAGGGACCAGGTTCCATCCCCAGGTGTGTCCTGCTGGCCCCGCCCGTGGATGCACTGATAGGTATTTAAGACTGGGCTTGGTGGTGCATGCCTGTAATCCCAGTGCTTGAGAGGCTGAAAAATAGGAGTATCACTACAAATGCAATCTGTGCAGTGAGACCATGTGGACCCCATACTAAATACTTCGGAAAACAAAACAATAGGGGCGAAGGAGATAGCTCAGTAGAATAAGCACCTGCCTGGCAAGCATAAGGTCCTGAGTTCAGTCCCCGGTACTTCAAGGAAAAAACAAATAACATTAACAATGACAGGGCCAGGGAGATGGCTCAGTAGAATAAGTGCTTGCCTGGCAAGCGCAAGTGCCTGATTTCAATTCCCAGTTCTGCAAAAAAAAAAAAAAAAAAGAACGAACAGTGAGCACCCTTGTATACATAGCCTTACCTATTAGTTATCCTGCCATAAATTTCTACACGTGGAATTTCTAGGCTTATAAGAGTCACACAGAAGCCAAGTATGGTAACACATGCAGGTAATACCAGCCCTGAGAGGATGAGGCAGGAAGATCATAAGCTTGAGCCTAGCCTGGGCAATTTAGGAAGACCCTGTCTGAAATTTTTTAAAAAGCCAGGCATAGTGGAGCTTGCCTGTAATCCCAGCACTCAGGAGGCTGAGGCAAGAGGACTACCTTGAGTTCAGGGCTGACCTGGGCTACATAATGAATTCAAAGCCATGCTGTCCTACATAGCAAAACCCTGTGCAAAGGCCTTGTATTCAATTCCAAGCACTTTGGGGGTGGGGAGGATTTGCACAGATTTTAAACTTTTGGTCACATTGCCTCATAAGTAGGAAAGTGTTAATAGTGTTATACTGAATGTATGTTAATCAATCCGTGGGAGAAATATATTTGTCCTGTAGTCATTCAGTTCATTATTCATGATTTGCTTTGTTTATTTATTTATTTGTTTAGGTGGAACTGGGGATTGAACTCAGGCCCTTGAGCTTGCCAGGGAAGTGCTTTTTCCACTGAGCCATCTCCCCGGCCCCTCCATGATTTGCTTTGGATTTCCACTTTTACTGAGGCAGAGGATAATTATTCGAGGCAAATACAGTGAAGAAACTCAAACGTTGCTTTTTTCCATAGTTGTAGACTGCTTAGGATCTCCCTATGGTGAGAATGTACCATAGAATAGGATTTCTGTGTATAATGTGAAATGAACTGTTAATCTAACACATATCTCATAGTGAAAATGTACTTTTGTCAAAATTCCAAATGAACCACAATATTTTTAAACAGCATTAATTTGAGCAAATTTTATCAAAAATTGAATTCCAATAAAAAGGTAAATGTAATGTTGTCTTCAGTCAAAACATTCCTGAAGAGATAGCTTATGTGTATTTTATAAGAATTTCATTTTTCAGTGTCATATGTCAAACATTTGCATGTAACTGAGTTAATTTTTTTAATGTAGGTATAGCACACATTAAATTTTGCATACTTTTAAATAAAATGCTTCTGGCTTTTATGTAATTTTGCTCCATTTATTAAATGTGTGTGCTTTATAATAAAACCAGCAATTATTACTATGTAGCATTAGCATTAAAGTTGTTCATAACATGTTGTTTATTTGTACTTGGAAAATTATGCTCAGTTTATTATTTAAATAACAAAATGT